CCCCAAAACCCCAAAACCCCAAAACCCCGTATATACTAAAATAAGTATATATAGGGATATTGATTTTGATTTGAGGTAAAATGTTTAAATATATTAATTTCATCTTCTGATGTATAGTATTAAACATTATTAATTTAACTATGGACGTGACTAAAGATAACTTTAAAGACTTATTACCAATGATAAGAAAATCTATAAGTTCAGCAGATTTTATATCATTTGATACAGAGTTTTCAGGTATTTTTATAACTTCCATTCTAAAAATAATTGTCAGGCTTGTCAATTGGATATGATGACAAAGGGCATGACTATGACACAGTTGAAGATAGATATCAAAAGTTAGTGCATAATTGCAGTAGAATGAACACTTTCTAATTGGGTCTTTGTACCTTCAAGTGGAATGATGTTAAAATGAAATATGTTTGCAGACCATTCAACTTCTATGTGTTTCCTGACTCTCAACTCTATGACGACATGAATGTCTAATTTTAGGTGAGAATTAGCAACTGATAGCATTTTGTTGCCTCTTAAAATTTGCCTCCATTTTAATCAATCTTAAATATAGGCTAGCTGCATTAAGTTCTTGAGAGAAAATAACTTTGATTTCAATAAGCTTTTCAGTGAAGGAATTGTATATTATATAAACAAATAATAGTATTTAGAGCTACTAAAGACTGACAAAAAGAGATGAAGTCTTCATTAGGGCCTCTCAAAAGGTGCTAAATTAAAGATCAAATAGGCGATTCTACACTCATCTTGGCGATAATTCACAGCAACTTCTAAGTCAGTTCTTAGAACAAGTAGATAGGTTCTTTGCAGACACCAAAAACTCAAACAAAAATGAGTAGTTGATCTTGGAAGTAAAGTCTCATGCTTTGAAAAGACAGCTAAGCAGAGATATCAATGCCAAGTACAGAGAAAATGGAAACATCTATGTTGAATTTAAAAAGAACTCAGATTAGTTTACCATCAAGAAGTGGTGGAAGAGAAACGATTATTCTTCAAGCTCCAAGAAAGCAAAGGATTCAGCTCTTGATAGTGAGTCAAAGATTAACCCAGAAGCTAAAAGTGAAGATCTTATTCCAGCCACTAGTGAATTTAAATTAGATGCAGAATCGGAACAAAAAATATAGCAAGACCAAGAAGAAACCAAGAACGCTCAACTGAATGAAGAGGAAGAGAAATAAATTCATTAACAGAATCAGATTGAGGATCTATTCATAAGGGAAATGGGATTTTCATTGGTAGTTGAAGAACTAATTCGAGCAAAGAAGCCTATTGTCGGCCACAATATGATTTATGATATTGCATACCTTTACAATCAATTTATTGATACCTTACCAGCAAAATACTCCGATTTTATTGCACATGTAAGTATATTTTATTCAATATTGATTGTAGTGGAATGAACTATTCCCTTTGATATATGATACCAAAGTTCTTTCTTCAGCATCAGAGTATTTCGGAAAAACAGGTTTAGGCTACATATATGAGAAATGCTTAAATGACTAAAGATTGAAGGTCTAATTTAGAATTAACTTTGATATCTAAGGAGGCTTCACAAATTACGAGTCCTCTGGAGTGCTGGCTCATTATCACGAGGCTGCATATGATGCCTATATGACTGGGTATGCATTTGCAAACATAATGAAGTACAAAGAGGTCGATGTACCAAAGGAAGAAAGAAAAAAACATGGTGGTAGCAACAATAACAGAGGTAATAACAGAGGTAGAGGAGGAAGAGGAGGAGGAAAGCAGTAATAGTAAAGAAAGGAAGAGGAAGCAAAGGTCTTAAATAAAGAAGAATCTACTCCTTCAAAAATAGAGGATTAACAGTAGATAGAGTAAATTACTTCTCAGGTTGATAATCTGCAAATAAATAATGATTAACTAACTTAGCAAACACAGATTCAGACTTAAACTACTGAAGAGAAAAAAGTAGAGGAGAAGGTCTGGACAAAGGTTAACTTTGAAGCTAACTTTTCTTAGAAGTTCTTAAACAAGGTCATGTTCAATGAGTATGATGGCTGCAGACTCTATCATTTGGACCCAAAGAGACAAGAAGATGTTCCAAAAGATTGGTCGAAAGTTGCTTGGGTTGAAGTCAAAGAGGAGCTGTATGAGGCTAGAGCTGATGAAATAGCTTAAAGGCTTGGAAAATATGGAGATTTTGCTCTTCATAGAGATACTAAGCAATCCTTTTTCATTGAATTCTTCTACTATGATCCTACAACTGTACCTGAACAAACAATTGAAAACTTTATAAACGCCGTTCAAGAGAAACTATCAGATTTAGGGTTCAAAAGCATTGCTCCTTACAATGATGCTAATAAATTTAGAGCTCACAATCGCTTTGAATAAATTTGATTTCTAATAAGTTTTATGCAAAAATCTTTATTCAAAAGAAGCTTGGGGTTTTGGGGTTTTGGGGTTTTGGGG